TAAACTCAGTTAGCTCTCAATTTAACATATAAAAATATTTATTTATTAATGCATCTGGGTCCATCATACCTAATAAAAGGTAAAAGTTTTTTTTTTCTTTTCATTTTTGGAGGTGAATTTTATGAATATCCATATTAAATTCGATTTTAATTTGATTTTTTTTTTTTTTGACAAGGTAGATGGTTATGAAGTTAGTAGAGTTAGTTTGTTAGCAGCTGAAATTTTTCCAGGAAAGTAAACGTTTCACCCCCTCATTTGAGGCACGCGACCATTAGGTCGCAAGTTGGTGAAGTTCACGACGGTTGCTGAGCTCGAAACCCTAACCTCCGCCTCACCCAAGCCCTAAAGTTTGGGGGCCAACCAATTGTGCCACAGGTCCGGTTGACGATTTTAATTTGATTTGAACTCAAAATTGAAAGCAAAATAAAAGTTTTGTATCAATGTTATTTTTTATTTTAATTCTTTATATGAATTACTATATAATATAATATTAGGCGTTACATACATATAAGAATGAGAAAAAGTCAATAAAGTGTTAATAATTTAAATAATTCAGAGATAATTTATTTTTATTAAAAATAAAATATTTTTATTTTGATTTATATAATATATAAATGAAGTGCATTAAAAGATAAAAAAAATTATTTTTCATTATACAATTTAATACAATAAAAAAAATAAAATAATTAGTTAAATTACTAGTAATAAAGAATTTTTTGATATGTCTAGTTAAAGTTTGAATCTTACTTCCCTTTCCCAAACCTCAAATTTTACTCGATATTAATTAAAATTCAAGACATAACAATATCATGTTATTTTCCACCCCCCTAACATCCAATTCTCTTTGATAAGAGAACTTTTGAATAAAGCAATTGGTAACTCACTGTATAAAAATATTTATAGGTCTTGAGTTCGAGGCCATCCCCTCTCCTTTCTCCTGGACTGGTTTCCAGCTCCTTTCTAACCTGATCAAAGAAAAAAAGAAAAATTTCTCCTTGATAAAAAATAATATATATTATTTTTTTTTGTTTCGAAAAATTTAAGGTCAAAATTGTTTTTCAATCGTTCATTAAATTGTGGGGTCCCACTTGACGCAGTCGACAACTGAAAAATTTCCAACCTGCCCTTTGCCTCTGTGATTACGCCGCGGGATAGTATTGCTCTTTGCATTTAGGAGGTGTGACTAGATACACACGTCTTTGACTTTCACTAAAATATTATATGT